ATACTCGAATACTCGGTCAGTATTCCGATCGAATACTCGGTTACGTGGAAGATTTCTTAGGACTTTATTAAAAATTCATTTATAAGAACAATCGGAACATCTCGACTATTGTCAATAATAACCGAAGTTCTTACCAAAAGTTAGTCTGGCTTACCTATCCCTGTTACTACGTTTTTGCGACGGACGCGCCCTCAGGCGCGTTCAGAGCTAAGTCATCTACACATGGGATTTCGTTGGCTACACTCGCGCAATGTGTCCTAAACCGATTAACAGCCCAAGAAATAGTACATGAATTTGATCCTTCAAAACTCCCATACTTTGTCTGGATATCTTAATGTCTTCCATATTTAGCCTTTTCAATTTCAAATTAAGTTATCCAAGTTAAAATATGAACGTATATTATTGATAAAAACGTTGTAGTCCCGTAAGTATATTATTGCGCAATATGTCAAATTACTGCTGAAACGATTTACGCGCTGTCGAAAAAGTAGGACAGCAAATTATACTACAATAAAGGTGTAACCTCTTGAGTTCCAAGACATTATTAGTAGGAAATAAATATTCTACATCATACAAAACATTATTATTAACAAATCAAAAGTTTTTCGTGACTCTAGGATAACTCGCCGCATTAATAAAAGAAGAACTATTTTCGTGACTCATACCGCGGGTTTAGCTGAATATTCAGCAGTTATTAATATATTAGATTCAGTACAATAGTTAGTATAAATATCTATTTTTGAAAATGCATGTAAGAAGAGAGTTTTCAACACTTTACCGCCATGTAGTCTTTCATGGTATAAGAAGTTATAAATTCAGTTCTACTTCCGATTCTTGTGGTTTGTTTACATACTTTTCTAGGTCATGATATGAATTAACCTTTGCTATTCTAAAAATAGATTCTGCTTCACCTGTTCTGATTTTTGGACAGGCGATTAGGGAGCGGAGTACACATTATACATGTAATTAATAAACCAGCGGATTACATGCAATACTTTTAGAAATTCTATACAATTGTAAGAAGCAAACAAGTTGAAAATGGAATTTAGTGTGAAATTGAAAAGGACAAAATAAACAATCTGTAGTGCTTAAGTGACATTTAAATTAAAATAAAAAACGATGTGCTCTGGCCTCTACATTTTACCTTGTAAATAAAAAAAATCTAAAAAATACACTATTAATTGCTGAATGATTTTAACCAAAATTTTTTTAATGAGACATATGATTATCCAAGAGAAATAAAAATACAAATGACTTATATTCAATTGTCTATATGCCCACTATGATATAACACGAAGCAATTCTAAATAGCATTCTCAAATGTATAATGTATTATGTTTGAAGTTTATTTTCCTGGATTTATTTTAGAAATATTTCGTTGACAGTTTTTTTTCCAATTTACATATCATTTCTTAGAAAAAATCGATAAGGACACTGATTTACAAGTTTGACCAGAGTTTTTAGGCATGAATTTCATTCTGTATTTAAGTGCTTGAAAGTAGAAAATCTGAATTATATCAGTTTGGGACACAAAATATATTGCTGTACAAATCTCGAACTTGTATGAAAGAAATTTTCTCTGTTATATATTTTGTGTTTTGTTTTTGTTTAAAAGAAGCCTTAATGTCTCTCCGGTTGCATGTCCGTCGCATTCAGTGCTGCAGCACTTTGATTTAATAATCGCAGAATAGTGGACACGGAACCAAACTTATCTGAAGTTTGACGGAAAGTGCCGAGACGATGCTATTATTATTAGAAAGACACCTATATAGTCAGCGATCCACTTAAATTTCCTATTTTGATACACAGAATTGAATAATACCAATAAAATGCGATGAAAACAGAAAATATTGTTTATTAAAGGGCCCTTGTTCTTGTTAATTATATTTTATTCTTTATCCAATCTACCAAAATGGATTGAAATGAAATCTACAGGATTTCCGTTCATCTGAAAGTCCCTATAAATGAAGAAGAATTATTATTAATACCATGATGAGATGAACATTGCGGTATACCATTTAATAGAATTATATGATGCTACTTTTTGCAGGGTACATTATGCCTCAGATAAAAATAAATTTTCATTCTTTAGAAAAGGCAAACATGAGTTTTATAATCTTCAATTAATAGTGTGAGAGCATATTATACATGTATATGCTTATCACATTAAGAAAGTAGATGTGAATATAAAATTATTTGTCATAAAAGTAGCAAAATGTAAACAAAGTAGTATTTTGACTTCCATTCTAAATATAAAATCATATTTTTTACTAATTGCCAAAGCGTAACAAAGGCAAAATATGGTTCAGGTAATTAGCCAGGAAAAATAACAGTACACAAAAAATTAAAAGCTATAGAGAAATGACAATAAAAGCATTTCTGGGGCATAATAGGCATTGAAGGATTGATAATGCTCAGCTCAATGGAGGTCAAATGCATAAAATCATAGCTTTAAATGCTTATTTTTCCAAAGGCGCAAATATGTACATGCAAAAGAGTTTTATTCAAACTTAGCCTGATTTGAGTAGAATTTTAAAGGCGTTGAAACGCTTTTTCATTTTTTTTCGTCATTTTGCACAATGAAAAATATTAACCTAGAATGAAAACGATGTGAGAGACATATAAGTTATTGGTCATGACATTTCAAAACCCTCGGTGGAGTCCCTTTAAAGGGTAAGACTTTATATAATTTATTGCCTTTTTCCTGTTCTGTGCCCCACGGATGCGTTTCCGGTTGTCTTTTGTGGTAGCTGCACTTGTCAAGGTTTCTCTCCATTTTTAGTATATCATTACATATTTTTGTGAAAGATTATGCAAGTTATTTAACATTAATTCATAACTTGGGCACCGTAATGTTTATATTTCTAACTTTCAGTCTACTTTAGGTCGTTTTAACTTGTAATTGAATTATAGCCGAACCTACAATCTAACCTTTGATTCCGCCCAATGGGATTCGAACCGTTATCAATTCAATTAGTCGAAATTATTGCTGTTCATATTTTCTTCTACGCGAATACGCTATGGCCTTGTTTTTATTATGATGTATAACATTATTTATTAATAGGTAGCGTTATCTAATTATAGAAGTGTTTAGATTCCTTGAATTATTTATTAAGGCCACTTTCTTGTACAATTATGGCGATACAAGTCAATCGGATTAATAAAACATGCATTATACCGAAACAATATTGGGTTCCTGTCCTCTTCAGCTTTTAATTAATTTGTTTTGTAAGGAAAATGCACGTTCGCTGCCCATGCCCGGTTTCAGCTACATGCACTTATTATCGACATGCTTTTATACTGATTCCAAAGTATACCTATATTACAAACGAGCCGCGGAGCATCGCCGCGAAATATAGGAGGAGGATTTTTTTCTGTACATCTTACAGTTTTCTTTCTTTCTTTTATTGCGAGTATTTCTTTCTTTCTCCTTTCTGTCTTCCTCTATCTTTCTCTCGTACATTCTGAATAATTTCTCACCATTTATGTATATATATGTAGTACAATGTGCCTTCTTTTTTCATTTATATATATAGAGAGGATATTCAAGTTTTTTTCTATAAATACAGGATATATTTTCAGCGAGTGGTATGAAAATAAATAGTTCACGAGTGACAGTTGTCACGAGTGAATTATGATAATTTGCATATCACAAGATGAAAATAAATCCTGAATTAATAGGGAAAAAACTAGAATTTTTGGTTTGTTATAATTATACTTTTTTACCTTTCAAGTCATAAGACTTCTCCTTTAATTTTGTGTATTGCCTGAATTAAGAAGAAAGTAGTCCGGCAAGACACCAGTCAAAATACGGAAAATATGTTTCGCTGCAGTGAAAAATAAATCTTTACATTGAAAATACGGCAAATAAAATTACGCTTTTTATTTCATCAATATTTCTCAATTTTATTTATAAGTATGTAATAAACTTGCATAATTAGTAACTTTTTGTGGACTTTCAGCAATAATGTTTATATTTCTCAAGATAACTGCATTAAAACCGGAACACAGGACAAGAAACAAAGGAGTTACTATGCCCTAAATGACATCTTATTTACCGAACAAAACAATCACAGCGAGTCCTAAATGGTTAATAAAATATGTCACGAAAACGTAGATCTTTTTTTACTTTATTTTGCGTTACAGTTATGAATACAATGTTTAATGTTATAGTCATTTTCATTTTGAAATTTCCATGTTTTATTAAAATGGAGTATAATTTTGAAGGTATGTTTATGCAGCTTTGTGTAATAATCCAGTAGGGACAATAAAAAAAAGACGCTGAATGAGTGAACAAATATTGAATGTATTCAATGAATAAAATTATATGCACATCAAAAGCTGGTAAAATAGGATCGAAATGATAATTACAATACTGAATTCTTTTGAATGAGTGCACAACTGTCAAAACGTTATATAAGAGTAATATACATGTTTGCAGCTGTGTAAGAGTCCAATAGAGTCAGTATTGTACTCGATAATGGCCTCTTTATTGCAAATCCATTTTAACAAGTGTTTAATACTTCGAATGCAATAAGGATTTAATATTTATTTTTTGTCTTGAAAGTGAAATCGTATAGCTGCATGGAGTACAAAGTTGTTTGATATTGATATTTTGGACTAAAGCTAATATGATAAGATTAGATCCAATAATAATTTATATTGTGAGGTCACTAGGTGCTGGCAAACATTGAAAGTTTTAGAATTATATTCTATGTACCACATTTACCTAAAAGAAGTATATTGGCGGCAAAAAGTGCGGTATGGCTTTCTCGAACCGGAAGTTATTTTTTATCAACTTATTTGAATGAAAATATAATTTGAATAACATGAACTATATTCATTGATATCATTAAAATTTCTATAAATATAATATTTTCATTCAAAGACTTACAATGTACCTCAAGGACTTCCACCAAAATAAATTGTATACAGACAAACTGCTGGACTAGGGTTAAATACATCAACCGACTTTAATGTCTTTCTTCTCTATATAGCTCGCATAAAAGTCTCAAAATCCAGCCCAACAGACTTTGTACACGAAATGACGATTCCGGAAGTTGTTACCGTTGATGTTACCACTGATGTAGAAACCTTCAAATTTAATCTTAGACGTAACCGATGGCATACCCGGAATATTCCGGTCTTTACTGGTGAAGGAAACACGTGGCACTCGTACATTTTTGATATCCAGAAAGTAAGTATATGTCGCGAAGATGCATGTAAAGGTCAACACTGTAAAGGTCATATGCATATGGCGACTTTCCAGCTTTAATACTGGTTGAAGAAGAAGACCCCAGGTGCCCCTCCGTGCATTAGAATGTTTATACTAATTTATTTTAGTTCGATTGTGTTGGAAGCTATGAGCTTGTTGAAACACTCTAGAATCCGTTCCTGGATCCTTTCCAATCCTAGATCCAAACAGTGCTAAGTAATGAATGTAAAACTTCTTGCTCAAGAAAACAACGGCTTGCCCCAGACGTGGTTTGAACCCACGCGGCCAACTATCCTTAGAATATTAGTCAGACGCGTTAACCACTCGGTCACGCCCCACCACTCTTTTCATTATTTCAGGCACGAAAGGGCACCTGAGAAGAACCACCGACTGTACGAAAGCTTCCTTTGCTTCTTTTAGGGAAATTTTAGAGCACATTGTTCGCCTAGAAACAAGATCATCAGATGCTTGCGTATTACATGCCTTTTCACCTGTGGTGTGATTTGTTCTATATACAAATTTTCATTACATAACTAGTACCCGTTTCCGAAGCGTTCCCTTGACATACCCATTGGTCCGATTTCATCGAAATAAACATTTACCGCATGGCGACCTGTATTCTACCGTTAGTCCTGCATACAGTGAGCTATTTAATGGTCTGATTCAACGCAGCTAAAGCTTAATGGAAATATATGGCAAACGAGCGCGACGAAGAAACTTGACCAGATGCTCTCGTAGAATAAGCCTTAAACATTCTCAGCGATTTGATCTTTTTGTATAAAATTACGTTTTTTGTAAACAAAAAAAGAACACGTTCACTGAGCTTTCCATGACAAGTGGATCTCGGACTTGAAAAATGACAGACAGATTCCCGCGTTTTATTCACATTTCACATATGCGGCATTCTAGTCTTCTTTCAAACTGAAATTTTTAGAAAAATCACCTGGCTTGACCTTCCTCATGGTCCGATTTCTTAGCAAACTAGCCAATGAAATATTTTAAAGGGTCTCTTTTACGACATTATAAGGTAATTTGCGCTATTTTAAGATTGGCGAGTTAGATAGATAGATAGATAGATAGATTTATTTCGGCAAATGAAGCATTTTTAAAAGAAACTATTTTCCGGAGCCACCCTGGCCTTGCAGTGTTCACTTTTCTTTGCTTATTAGGCAGTGCAATGCTTCGAATGTCCCCGTTATGGCAATATCTTGTACATGAAGGTCGTCTAAGAAACATATCATATATAGGCCAATCAGCCTACGCCTTTGTTCTTTCTGTATATTAGCTTCTAATTTTCGTAAAAAAATATCATTTTCTAGAGCCCACTAGCTTATGATGGATTCCAAACAATTGCTGTTCTTTTTGTTAAAACACGTTATGTCCCAGACGAAATCGCCGCCGGTGCTTAAATGCATATACGATGCGGGCATCTTGCAACCCTTTTTGCAGTGAGTAGGTGTAGATAGCATGCTACAATCTATCGAATGGGTCAATTTGAAACCCAGTCGGACCAATTGTAAGCTCACAGTGGGTTCTGGATAATATTGTTTTATAATAGCTTGTATTTTTTAAGCAGAAAGAGTAGGCATGCGAGCATAATCATGTGCTATATATTCTGGTATAATATAAGAGCTGCACGCCTCCATTTGATCCAAAATATTTCAAGAAAATCAAGCGTGAGAAAAATGTTCTATGATTTTAAGAAAAGTAAAACAGATCCAAGATTCAAATAATAATTTATATGTTACATGAGATGTACGTCTGATTTTGCACTTTTTATCACCATTTTTACTGCGTGACTAACGCAGTAAGGGCTATTTTTGCATATTTTGACCTTTCTTTTTTGGTAATTTACGTGGATTGTATATGTGTGGTTTGCTATGTGTAAATTACTTTTTTGTAAACTTCACAATGTTTTACTTTCAAATACATTTGACAATTACAGCTTATGAAATGATCTATTTAATGGAACTGAAAACGATAATTTTACTAGTACAATATAAATGAAATAGAAATGACTCCTTGTAGAACACCTTTTTTGTTAGTTATTGATATTTAGACATTCCTTTATTGCAGTCTGGTGTTGGAATTTATAGCGCTGACGGATCATCATTTGCACTAAAGTTCAATAAGGGCAAAGTTTTCACATGCGTAAGTCAAAAACTTTTCACTTATTCATTGACGTAACTCTTAAATACATGTATACGAATATTGACAGCTGACCTAGTGGCAAAGGTGTCTCTCTCTTAGCCAATAGTAAACATGGGTAAGAACCCTTTCTTAAATATATAAGAACGAATAGGGAGATAAGGCAAATTGATTCTTTACTCGGTAAGAGTTCAACTGAAGCACCAGTACTGGTTACTTCCCAATCTCAACACAGTAACCTCCCTTTATTTTTCTGCATTTGTTACTGTACTGATCAAGGGAAGTAACCGCTTCGAGGATGGTTCTAATGAGCTCTAAGCTGTCATTTCATTTGAGTCTTTATTGGCTTAATTGGCTCAGTATATTAATCAAAGCACTTTGGGTCTCAGAATGTCAGAAAGGTGAAGGTTGTGAGATTATTAACCAATTTGTTTTTGTATGGTGCCACCAATTTTTTCCAGCATTTTAGTTGTAGTAAATTCGCTATAAGACTTATTGCAACACTGATATTCAATCCAATGTTTTTTTGACTTAAACAAATTTGAAAAAAAAGGAGTTGCCTTAACTCCAGACCTCTCGCTTCCTAAGCCAGCGCGCAAACCCCTCGGCCACAGTGAATTTATATGTTATCAGTCTGAAGAAAACCATATTATTCTAAATTAGGGTTTGTAACGACGCTAACTGTTGTTTAACACAGATGTATATAATCATGGAGCTTACTATAAGCATGTATATCTATAAAGAATAAAACAATACTAGAAATCTTCGACCATTCGGGAATTATTTTGCTTGAAAATTAATGCGCATGTCATTTGACCATCTTTACGCAGTGATCTCCCTTGAATTTTTCGGCGTTAGTGTACATATAAAGGGAAGTAACCGCTTCAAAAATGCGGACTACTTTCGGCAGTTGCAATTAACAGCATTAGAGTCTGAAATTTCGCTACAATTATTTGTTTGGTCTGACCACGGATTTATATTACATAAATCCGTGGTCTGACGACCTAAACAAATAAAAACGGTTATAAGCACAACCGTTATTATATCTATAATACAGCACTATATGTGACGGAAAACGTACTAGTATATAAACGACATGGTTATCCAATTTAATCAATTTAACTTTGATGCAATTGCAACAACAACAAACTTTAACAAAAACATCAAAAATGTCTGTAGTTTTGCCACTAACCCTCATTTTATTTGTTGTTTTTTCCGTTACAGAAAGGAATATTTCACAAAAATAAATACGTGTACAGGATTTATCCCCATAATGTTAACGTGACGTCACATAGAATTTACAGAGCTCTCTATGACGACGACAACTTAATAATACCTGAAACCCATGCAGGTATGTTAATACATGATTATTAAGCCGTACTTGAGTTAAGTCTTTCTTCGTATTACCTTTTGTTGTCGTTATTTTTGTTTTGTTTATTTACTTATAATTTTTGTGTTGGTTTTAACTTTGGAGGAGGGGCGAGGAATATGAATGACTGTTGTGACATTATTAAAATATCTGATTTCTCATTTTTTCCCATTATGCCTCAGAAACAAATAAAGTTTTACCTCTTTAGAAAGGGTAACATGAATTTTATAAGGTTTTATGATGATTTTTAAGATGCTCAACAAGTTACCTGAAGAAAGTGGCGATCAATGTGAAATAATTTGTCATAAAAGTGGCAAAATGTAAACAAAATAGTATTTTGACGTCCATACAAAATACTTATTCACTGTAACTGTACTTATCACCAAAAAGGCAACATATGGAGAAGTCAGTTCTGGTAATTGGCCAATGAGTAATTTTTTTGATACTATAAAAGTATAACAAAATTAGAAAGCTTTTGAAAAATAAAAACAAAGCATTTCTGAGGCATAATGTGTCTTTAAACTTTCTTAAACTTTACCTTTATATTGCTAAAAGACATTCGGAACTGACATTTTGTGACTTTTGTAATAACTTATTTAAACGATTTGTATTGTATTTTGTCATTGATTCACAAAACATAAAACAACATAATTGTACATAGTAGTTTAATCACTTTCGTTGTTTGTCAATGTACTTTTTGCAGAATTTGAAATTTTACAACATATGGCGAAAATAACATCTCGAAAGAAGCGTCAAGCGCAGCTGTATGAAATAGAATTGTTAATAGTTGTGGACTACGCCCTTTTTACACAGTAAGTAGCCTAAACATGTGTTTTTACACTTAGTGCTTTTTACTTCTTTTTTTCAATTTTTTCGGTCGAAGGCTCTTTGTTTTCACCTTAACTTCCGGTTAGTATACGGGTTATTCGCCATCTGTTTACCGTTATTTACCGGATAGATAATTCATGTGGTTTGTCATTACTAAGCAATGGTCATATTTCTATATTACCAGAGCAATCGGACGTAAGCTAGTAATGGTTTACCTAGGTTTACCACGGCCGATGTCTTTTAATCTTACAGTTTCTTGGCACGATAATTTTATTAAAAGGAACTTCGCTGACTTTTTGACGTAAGGTTAAAGAGTAATTATCGGGGGTGCAAAATGAGGTTTAATGAATGTAGAAAACGATGCGCCCCCGCCGTATTACAATTGAATCTCGACCTTTCGCCTCGTTCCCCCGCTTATTAGCGTGTTTTTGCTCCGCACCCCGCCATTTTAACTTGTTGATTCTCGACATTTAGGTTGTCGGGGTCGTGGGCGAAAACACGAATTGCACAAATCAGCCACCATTGAAATATGTTTTATATGAAGACTTTTGACAGGTTATTTGCCCTATTGATAAATTGATGTTTTTTTTCTAATATAATTATCAACACCTAGCGGTTCCAGTCATAGACGACGTGGTCGTATGCTTGCAACTGTTTGTTACAGGGCCATATATATCAGTAACCTGTCGCAATTCTTCATAGCTAAACAATATTATTCATAAAACAACCGTGAGAATAATAAGTAATGTTTTTTTTTTGTATAGGGCAGCTGCCACTATTGGAATTACAGAGACTGACGTCATTGCTAGGACGTCAGAGGTGGTCGAGGACATTATACATCAATTTGCAATCATTGTTAACAGCATAGACGCACGGTTTCGAGAGATCCGAGGAGCCAACTATGTAATAAATGTTCTAATTGCTGGCATATATATAGCGCTCGTAAGTTTTAATTATTACAATGAAATTTGATATACATGTACAAATGTATATTGTAATGCAGGGAGAGACACAACCTGTATTATATAAATGTTTGTAAATTTTAAGATCATAAAGATCTTTACCCGTTTTTTTTGTTGTTGTTTCTTTTTTCGGATAAATTAGTTTTATTTGCAAAGTCACCCAAAAATTAACAGCGTTGCAACCACAGGTGTTCGGCGCGTTGATTGGCCACTACCCCCTCACCCCCACACCCACTCTACAGCCCTCATACCTCTCAAAACCATGTAAAATACAGTATTTTTCATTTGAAACATGTTTTAATATTTGGTTTATGCTTTTTATTCAATTACCTTCATTCCCCACAAAAAATAAAAAATTGATACATATATATTTAGTAAAGGTATGCAACTCGCCGCTCAATTTTCAGCACTCATCTTAATATGAACTCCATAACTTTTTTTTCACCAATTTTCAATATCTTGGTACCAAATGGTAGGGAATGGTAGGGAATTGATTACTCTTAAAGGAAAATAAGCTGTCATTACGATCATTTCAAGTTATCAGAAGATGTGTAATCTCAAAGTCACCGCAAGTGTAACTCGACAGAGACCTGACCGCTGGGTTTTCTTCAAAATTACCCGACTAAACGGCAGTTTATTCGAAATGAATGAATATTTCATTGTATTGCGCATATAAATATGATCAAATTATATTACTATTTGTAATAACTGTTCAATCAAAACAGCATATAAAACTATAACAAACCTATGTGATTTGTATTTTACATGGTTTTGAGAGGTATGAGGGCTGTAGAGTGGGTGTGGGGGTGATGGGGGGTGCGGGGGTAGTGACCAATCAACGCGCCGAACACCTATGGTATCAACCTCCTGTGAGATGGTTGCGATCGCTGCTTTTCGGTCTTTTCCGGCCAATTCCGACATAAGAAGTAGCAGCCAGACCGAGTGGTAAAGGTCGTTGGCTTAAAAACTCGAACTTTGGATTCTGTCATGTGAGGAAGCTATCCAGCCAGCTGACGGATCTTCGTTGGTTCTATTCAAGTACCCGCTCGTGCCTGAAATAATGCACGTAGGGACACCTATTTTCTTTGAACTTCCAAAACAAAAAAAAGCTGGAAAGTCGTCAAATGACTTCTACTGAGTTGATGCGATGTATAACTCAACCAAAAAGAAAGTATGCCTCGGATCTATATGTTAAAGTACATTTGTTAAAAATATGAAATTATTGTCTTGTTCATAGAATCAGAGTTCTTCACCCTGGTCCGAATCGGTCACGGAATCATCTGATCCACGTGCGGTCGTGAGTGAAAAATCAGTTAAACTATTTTCTAACTGGGTAAAAGTTCATCAACATAATTTGCCAGAATTTGACCATGCTATGGCGTTCACGGCGTATAACCTGCGAAAGGAAGGTAATTATAAGAGAATCGATGAGAAAAATGTATTGCCAATAATTCTTCTTTACTTCGTTTTAGCATATTTTAGCAAAATAAAAGAAATATAAAAAAATAAATATAAAATAGAAGAAAATACATTTAAAGTAATGTACAATTAGGTGAAATATATTTTGATGTTCATAGGATAAATTACATGGCTTGGAGCTTGTATGTGTAGTAATACAGACATGGATGCACGTGATTCAAACAGTTTGAAATAATGTCAAATTTCTATTTGAATTTTTAAATCCTCACATAGTAAGAGAACTTTAAAAAGATTATGAAATTTTTCGTCTGTATTTAAATACTGAAAATGAACTTAACTTTACGTCATTACACTCATTGACGTCGTATCGTGGCGTCCTACAATATGTAGATGAAGTGGTACACTGTAAATATCATTCAACTGTTGTCAAACCGCGAGAAATGTTTCCAAAATTAATTTTTGATCAAATCGACTAATGGTAAAATGTCTACAGGTTTTGAAAAGTAGTGTATGCCTTTTTACATAGTATTCTGAGGAACACTTATTGCATTAAAATATTCATTACATGATAAAGGTGATGTCAAGTGACGAAAATGTTGTTTTTTTTTTAAATCAAATTCTTGTCCAATGGTAGGATACTACGTCACCGCGCACCTGCAAAATGCTCCCATTCGGACGTTGGGCATCAAAGATTGGCTTTAGTACTTGATGTAATTTAAAAAACGTTTAAAGTTTTACTGTCTGGTTTAAGCCTGAAAAAGGGATACATTTTGTTTGGGATTCCGAATGGGAGCATTTAGGAAAAACAACTTTATCCCGTTTTCTGGACTAAGCTAGGCAGTAAAACATTTAACGTTTATTTAAAACTATAAAAGTACTAAAGTCAATATTTGGTGCACTGCAATTGTTTGATATTCGAACGATTTCATAGAATAAAAACATACTTTACCTTTGAGTCGACGGGATATTTGCTGATGCGCGATGACGTAGTATCCTACCATTGATGCCACAATTAAGCAATTCTCTATTTCAGGTAATCACAAGACTTTAGGGTTAGGATATACACAGAGTATGTGTACAGACAGACGGTTTTCTATTGTAGAACATCACGGAGACATTGCCTATGTGAGCTACATCGCTACGCACGAACTTGCACACAGGTATGCACTTCCGTTTCCGCTTCTTTCAGCTTCCGGTTCACCGTTGACCTACTTTTTCATTAATAGTATAAAAATAACCATCTCGTTTTGGGTTTAAAACTTAAAATTTCATGAAAAAAACAGTTCCTTGGTCTTTTAACAAACGACCAAGAAAACTTCATCTCTTGAAATACATGTATGTTCGTACACATTTTGCAGATAACGTGGTATTTCTGTTTGAAACACGAATAAAGATATTACGCGATTGTTTTCTCTTTGTAATAATGTATCTGAATATTTCATGTCAGTTTTGTTTTGTCTATAAAATAATATGGAACCAGAGGAGAGTCGGTATCTCCTTTTTTCATTAGTCTTTTTTTACAAAACGCATTGATGGGCAGGAACATGTGTCCATGTTTAATACTGTAATGTATGAGTCTTTATTGAATGTAATTTTGTTTAGCATTTTAATGAATTTTAAACTGGTAATGACAGCAATACGACTACATGTAATTCTCTATTACAAATCTCCCACGCAGTGATCTCCCTTTACAGGATTAGATCTCTACCATCAACATTTTGGTTTAAACATATTTTATTCTATATATTTACATTATGATGAACAATATTTACACAAAACATTTGGGATTGGGCAGAAAGCTATGAAAGCTTATGAGTGTCCTGTCCCATCAACATTTTCGTCAAGACTTTTGACGATATGATTTTTTTCGATTTTGATATTTATTTTAAAAAGTAAACACGGCTTTGCTAATGTTTCAAGACCGTAAGCTAAATAAAAAAATAGTTTCGGAAACATAAATACAAACAAATGTATTATGAAAATATTTTATTATCGCACCTTTTATTTCCAAAACAATGGCCGGTAATTCAAATAATTTATAATTTCGTTAGACTCTACATGTTTTTTCAATCATATCAACAGATTCGACACCACAGCTCAAGTTATAATGTCGCTGTTTATTACAGATAAAACAATTGTTCAACGATTTCTTTGGCGTATCCGCCATTTTGACACAATCATGTGATAAGTCCATCATCACGTGATTTGTAGCGAAGTTAGGGAAGTTACGTTAGTAGATTATATGTGAAATGACAGGAAATATTATAACGCTAAAACATGTTTCCTCTTATATGTGATTAGCAGAAGTATCGATAAGTCTACAAATTTTGATTAAAAAAAATTCTAGTATTCCCTATTGGCTAACTGAAATAATTTAGTAATAATTCTACTGAAATGTTATTGCGATAAAAAAGATGTGTTGACGTCATTAGTTTAGGTGCTAAACACGACGGTTACCCTGCCACAGTAATGTACGGTGATGTTGAGAAGACTTGTGAAGCAGGCGAAGGCTATATCATGTGTCCGAAAGCGTCTAAAGATCCAGGTAGATCGTATGCAAAATATTTCTGTCTTTCCTTCTTTCTTTCTTTTTTTTTATACAGTATCACCGTTGTTTATATGTAGTCTAACGACTCTATTAATGTCACATGGCGTCTTTCAAGTTTTTTGAAAGATACAAGGGCCCCTCCTCCCCCTTCTCTCCCTTCGTTCATTATCCATTATTCCAGAGGGGCAGGATCGGGCACTTGGGTACAACCCTCCTGCTGTATTAGAATTGAATTTTCTTCAAAGTTTTATTAATACTACACCACTTCATTTAAATATTCTGTCAAAGATTTTGCCTCATCCATATCAAGGTTTGCATGTCTATATAGGCTAGTAAACAAAGATCTATGTCAATATCACACCATTTGTATATGTTTTCCTTACTATGAAAGTGAAATATAAGATTAGTGTTTGTAGGCCTTAAAACTCATTTCATCCTACATATAAACTCACTAATGGGCCCCACAGAGAAGACGCAGCTATCAGCAGCCAGTGGTCATAACGAGGCATTAGCAGCTACGGTCAAGACGTATAATTGTTCTTAATTAAAGTAAAGCCTGTCGTATTTTTCACAAGTTTAAATTATTATAGTGTAATTATTTAGGACTAACAAGTGTTTCATTTGTGGATATTAATTAAGCAGTTAAGAAAAGTGTGATAAGAGGTATGTTTAATTTATTTGTATATATTTATTTTAAGTTTATACTTAAAATCGTTTACCTTTTTGTAAAAAAAAAACAAAAAAAAAAAAAAAAAAAAAAAAAAAAAAAAAAAAATTTGTTTGATATGTTTGATGTCTGAACACCACAGACAATATATACATTTGTAGATATACATTTTATAACAACAATATTTATTAGCCAATTTTGTCTGAACACTGCTGCCAAATCCGAAAAAAAAAAATGTCTGAACACCACAGGCAAAACAAGATACAGTGTTCGTAATCATGCTTATCCAAACACCATGGAAAAGCAAAAATTGTCTGAACACCACAGACAAAAGACTCATTTGTTCGTAATGAAATCATGCTTATCCAAACACCATGGAAAAGCTAAAGCTGTCTGAACACCACAGACAAAAGACTCATTTGTTCGTAATGAAATCATGCTTATCCAAACACCATGGAAAAGCTTAAATTGTCTGAACACCACAGACAAAAGATACATTTGTTCGTAATTATGCTTATTCAAACACCATGGAAAAGCTAAAATGGTCTGAACACCACAGACAAAAGACTCATTTGTTCGTAATTATGCTTATCCAAACACCATGGAAAAGCTAAAATGGTCTGAACATAACAGACAAATTATATATTTGTTTGCAATAGGGCGTGTTCATACAACATGACATAATAATAATAATAAAATAATAGATAATAAATAAATAAAAAAAAAAATAAAATAAAAAAAAAAAAAAAAAAAAAAATCAGGCGTCTTGCATATCACAGAGGGACGAATTAATGATTTATGTAGATATCTATTTGACGGCGTTATTTACGCCTGACTGCGATTAAATTCTAATCGTTTATATATGTTTCTACTTCATTTTATTGCTTAAATGGACTGCTGCTAGAAATGTTTAAAAAACCTTTTTTTAGGATCATGGCCGACGATCAAGAGGTCGGAAACAACCAGTCCAATATTCCCAATATATTTGAAAAATTCGGGACACTTGCAGGATCTTCTAGTCAGTTAGAAGACATCCAAAATGCAATAAAAGGTTTAACGGATTCTCTGACTGAAATGAGGTCTGACGTTAATTCTTTGAAAAGAACTGCAGTTACCTGCGAAGAAACATCAACTTCGAAACGTTTTTGCACGAGGATGATTCAGGCTCAGATGACGAAAGCGTGGGAGATTTTTTCACCGAATCTGGGGTCACCGACGGAAATGAGGATGATGATGATGATGAATTCTGCATGGTGGATTTCTTCGAGGATGCCTCAGAAACAGGAGCGGCGATAAGTGACAAACTAGCCACTTTGAGCAATAAAGCTTTGCAGGTACAACCGAAAGAAGAAAAAATAAAGGAACTTTTGGACACACACAAGAGGCCTAACAATGTAGAATTTCTACAAGTACCTTTGGTGAATGAGCAGTTGTGGCGACAGTTGCCATCTCAAGTCAAAGCACAGGATTTTCTGTTGCAGAGGACACAGAAATTTTTTTCGTCTGCTTTGGTTCCGGTATTGAAGACCATGGATGAGTTAAAGACAGATGGACGACCAAAAATGAAAGAGTTGATTGGAAATACTTTCAAACTGTTAACCAATGCTTTTGTCACTACTTCTCAGATGAGACGTGACAGGATAAAGAAAGAACTTCTCCCGCTTTATAGGCCAATTTGTTCAGCAAACCAATCTGCCACTCATCTGTTTGGCGATAAAGTAGATGAAGAACTTAAAAAGTTAAGGGACAATAAGCAGCAACTTACATGTACTTCCAGGCGTTCTTTTTTAGGGAAACGCCAGGGCATGGCGACCCTGGTACCTCAGCACAAACGGAAAACATGCACTCAATTCACAGGGCAACATGAATTTCAATCTACAGCGACGACGTCAAAATCACAATTACAGAACAAAACAGCAGAAAAAGAATACTTTCCAATCAAGAGCACAGAAAAATTAATATCCGAAGTAAGTAATCATAATATGAAATATTCCTCTACCATTATAAATACTTCACTCAATTTTCGGGCGGGGAAGACCAGAATGGCGTTGAATGAGTGGAGAAAAATAACCAAAGATAAATGAATACTAGAAACTGTAGACGGTTATCGGGTACAGCTGTCAGCAACTCCTTTTCAGTATAAAATTCCAAAACCATTTAATTTTAAAGAAAACGAAAAACAAGCAATACAGTTTGAAATTACACGTTTTTTAAATCAAGGAATACTAGAACTTGCAGACGAAAACTTGGACGGAGAATACATTTCGAATATATTCACAAGACCAAAATCAGACGGACGGATTAGAATTATTTTGAATTTAAAATCTTTCAATAGCAACTACGTCAGCAAAATACATTTTAAAATGGAAACTTTGGGGTCAGTGACCACAGCAATGAGGAAAAATTGTTATTTCGGCAAGGTCGACATTTCTGATGCTTTTTACACTATACCTATATACGAACGGGACAGACGGTATTTTCGTTTCTTTTTCGAAGGTGTAAAATATCAATTTACAGCGCTTGTGATGGGATTTGCAAAAAGCCCTATGATATTCACTAAAACTGATGAAGCCAGTTTTTTCTCATTTAAGAGCGCGGGGTCATTTAAGTTCAATTTACATCGACGACGCATGTTTGCAAGGTCAGTCATACTCCGCCTGTGCTCGAAATATCAGCGAAACAATTGATTTATTAGACAAGTTAGGATTTACAATTTCAATGGGTAAATCTGTCCTGGTTCCGTCGAAAAAGATTGTATTTTTGGGATTTGTGCTGTGCTCTAAAACAATGACAATAAGATTAACAAAGGAAAAATGTGATGATATCACAGAGCTTTGCAATAACAAAATAACATGCCGGCGAATAACAATTCAAAAATTTTCAAAGATTATTGGAAAACTGGTTGCAGCATCACCGGGGGTTATGCATGCTCCGTTGTACATAAAACCTTTAGAACGACATAAGGAAAGGGAACTGAAAAACCATAAGGGTAATTTTAATAGTTTTTTTACAATCACGCCAGATATTTTGGAAAATTTGCGATGGTGGATTACTCATATACATTCATGTTTCAAAAGTATTACATTGCCTGACCCGAATAACATTATGTTTACTGATTCTTCGGGACATATGTGGGGCGCGTATGATAAAACAGAAAATAGACGAACAAATGGTTTTTGGTCGGCGGAAGAACAAAATCAACATATCAATGTGTTTGAATTAAAAGCGTGTCAAGTTGGGCTATTGTCGCTTTTTAAACACAACAGAAATATCTATATAAAACTTTATATGGATAACACTACGAGTGTATCATACATAAATAATTACGGGGGAAGAATAGATTCATTGAATAAAATTGCACGCGATATCTGGCATTGGTGTATTCAAAGAAACATTTTGTTGTCAGCACATCATGTATCGGGGTCATTGAACCGCACGGCAGACAAACTGAGTCGTACTGGAAATGAAGATTTAGAATGGAGTATATCACCTGAGATGTTCACAGCAATTTGTCGGTCTTTCCCGTCCTTAAATATAGATTTATTTGCATCTCGCTTAAATAACAAGTTTCCGACGTATGTTTCAAGACAACCTGACCCAAATGCTTTTGCTATAGACGCTTTTTCATTCTCATGGCATGATAATTGTTATTATTGTTTTCCACCTTTCAGTGTAATAGGCAGGGTCCTGCAAAAAGTAGAAATAGATCAAACAGATCTACTGTGTTTAGTAGCACCAATATGGCCTGCACAGACATGGTGGCCGACATTAATACAACTTATTGTTGCACCATGCCTTCTACTTCAGCACCCTCAGGACATCCTTACGTTGTGCCATCGACCGGGAAAGAAACACCCATTAAAAAGATGAGGCTGGCGCTTTTTCCCTTATCAGGAAAGCGCTTGAAGATAGAGGGATTTCAAATGAAGCTCAGCAGATTATCATTAATTCGTGGCGGAGAACAACCAGGAAACAGTATCAAACATATCTTAAACAATGGTTTCATTTCTGTGAAGGGAAACACGATCCCTTTAAACCCCTTGTAGCAACAGTGATAGCATTTTTGTCTCACCTATATTCAAAAGGGATAACCTACAGTGCGATTGGTATTGCCAGATCAGCAATTTGTGGGTTTGTTAAGATAACTTCAAACGTAGATTTCAGCAATAATAACCTGATATCACGGTTCATGAAAGGTGTATTTAACACAAGGCCGGCACTTCCGAGATATAAAGAGATATGGGATGTGCGAACAGTTTTAGATTTTTTATCAAAAACAGAAAATGATACATTATTATTTTTGGCTGGAAAATTAAGCATGTTGTTTTTATTGTTGTCAGCTCAGCGGTGTCAAACACTCCATCTCATTTGTTTGGAAGACATTAATATTTCAGACGAAAGATTGATAATAAACACTCCACATTTATTAAAAACATCGAAACCTGGTCGGCATCAGACACCCTTTTTGTTTGACAGTTTTAAATCAGATAAACGCTTGTGTATTGTCAGCGTCATTAGTGGGTATTTACAGAGAACGAAAGACCTCAGAAATACCAATAAATTACTGATATCAACGGTCAAGCCTCATGGGGCCGTTTCAAAACAAACAATTTGTCGCTGGATTAAGCTAATTATGCACAAAGCTGGGGTGCATAAATCATTCAAACCACATAGCACGCGCGCTGCTGCGTCTTCAATCGCACACATGCGTGGAGTCCCGTTACAGACGATAATTGAATCAGCGGGATGGAGCAATGCTAAGACATTCGCTAAATATTATGATAAACCAGTATCATATACCAATGGAAAATCTATGCAGGCTATCATAGATATTGCTAATTAGAGTGTATAATAATGGGAAAAAAAAGAAAACTGTAGTGATAATAATAATTATAGCTATATTTAATTACTTTCTATATAGTTGTGCATGGCATTTATATTCTGTAAAAATGATTTTACCGAATTGCAGAATACAAAAAGACCTTTATGTCTTGAAATTAAATCGTTGTTCTTCATAATAACATGAAAGATAAATATTTACTATGGCGTTGGATGGCAAGTAATGTCCTTTCCAAAATATCGCAAAAAGGACTCTAAAATCTCTGTGGGGCCCATTAGTGAGTTTATATGTAGGATGAAATTAAATGATTAAGCTAGACTTACCTGTAAGGTGAAGGTTAATCATGATTTCATCCACATAAAACTCACTAAGGGCTCACACACCCAACCCGCTACCTCCCCGTTTAAACTGATATTTTTGCGATATTATTCGGCATTACTTACTCTAAAATATGACCACTGGCTGCTGATAGCTGCGTCTTCTCTGTGTGAGCCCTTAGTGAGTTTTATGTGGATGAAATCATGATTAACCTTCACCTTACAGGTAAGTCTAGCTTAATCATTTAATTTTAAACTTGTCTCTTTCAGAAGCTCATCAAAAAAGATGGCGGTTTTCGGATTGCAGTGTCTTATATTTTGACTTTTTCTTAGATTATCTAAACGAGAATAAAACTAACTGTTTGACACAGCGTTCTTCGTGGTACGGCGGACAAGATTCTGTGCTATTTATAGATATTGAGTCACGTGCTTATAGCCCGGATGAGCAATGTGAAAGGAGACATGGAGCTGGATCTGTCTTAAACAGGGTAAACATTGAGCTTACATTTTATGATGGCAATCTTCTTCTGTGTTAGCCAACTATAACTGCATTATTGACACTTAATTGCCGAAAAGTTACTAAAAAATACAAAAAGTTATCCAAATTCTTAACGTTATATTTTATTGCAGCAGTTCAATATGGTTGCATAATTTTCTAATTTTAGAAAGAAATCAGTAAAAACTCGAGCAGCATTTGTCATAGAATCCCGTGTACCAACCCAGATGGAAAAGACTCCCCCATATCGATGCTGCCACTCGAAGGCACAAATTGTGGACACAACAAAGTTTGCCATTATGGCCAATGTGTTGATGGTGACCAGAGCATGCGTATTAAGAAAGAACAACAAGACGGTAATTACATTTTGCTGATGTAAATCGAGATTGTTAAGTCAAATTATTGTTTTCATGTGGACTACTCAAACTTTTTTTAAATGCATTATGTTATTATAATATAGAGGTATTTTTTTTTAAAATAGGCGGGAACCTACTTCTGCATCTATATTACATGTACTTACGAAAGACCGGTAGGGGCATTATAACGTCAAGAAAAAAAAAATTAGCTTTCCAGCTTGTTGAAATCGCGAAATCATGAACTTATGAAATTGAGATGACAAATTCATGAAATTTAAATCGTCAATTCGTGAGGTTGAAATCATGAATTTGTGTAGTTGCAATCGTAATTCATGAAGTCAAAATGTCACCACCGATATTCCGTATATACTTTATAATGATATTTTTGTTCCTTCCAGATGACTGCATATTCGGTGATCACCCTGGTTTAATAGCAGAGACAGGTTTGACGTGTCAAGAGCTATTGGGGGCACCTAAATTTGCCTATAGATGCTATACTTATGCAAAGGAATGTTGTGACACGTGTTCTTGGTACCGCAGAAAGCAAAGTGTCGTAGAACAAACGTGTATGTATGGCGATAAGAAAGAGTCATGTTCACTAGATGACTGCGATACAGATTTATGTTGCGAAACGTGCGCCATACATTCAGGAAAACTAAAAAGTAAGTATATTTTAGGCTCTATTCACGCTATGATCATATACTTAATCTACCTGACGTTATGAAGACAGGTAGGCATTTAGTTTATACGAATTTATTCCAGTTCGATTGTGTTTGAACACTGTCGAATCCGTTTCTGGCTTAATTAAATAGATATGAAATATTATTATTTAATTTCAGAGTAAATTGAATGGAAAAGCGTTTAATTTGAGAAATGATCATCAGATGTATAATATAAATTATAATAACATAGTAGTGGGCCTTCTTGGGGAGTCCGTATTTTACTGCTATATAAATGAAAGATTTGAACTTTATCAGAATCTCTGTGTGTAGCTTCACAGGAATTATCATAATATGATCTAATATATAAAGCCATAAATCTAGTAGATCTATCTTTATATAGTTTTATTTTTTACGATCATCTAATTATGTAAAAAACTGGTTTTAATGTAACAAGAAATTCAAGGCTAAGTGCTTGTGTTGAGTCAGAAACGAAAGCAAAATTATTTTCTCTTATTTATTTCACTCATATTTCGATCGTTGTTTTTTTTCAGAATGTCCATCATTAAATGCTCCACTCCAAGGATTCATGTCGTTTAACACAGATACAAACAGCTATGGAACAGTCGCCAAATTTTCTTGCAAGCCTGGTTACCATGTGAACGGAAATAGAACTGCTAGATGTTTACAGGAAGGTTTTTGGGATTCTACGGCCCCAACTTGCATAGAGGGATGTTTAGTGTCAGAATTACCACCACAGACATACATTGAAAATGGTCGTAAAGAGGACGTTTTTAAAATTGGTTCACACGTAAAAATATTATGTCAGAACGGGTTTGAGATAGACGGTGACGCCGTTCTGAAATGCAAAAACGATTCTTTTTGGAGTAGCGCTATACCAAAATGTATTTTAGGTATGTTAACACATTCCGAAAATAGAACAATTTACCGCTATAAAATAAAACTTTTTTCTTCAAATCATTAGCGAACTAGCATTCTTTAATTAGCTAATGTGCTTGAAATAATGGTTCGGACGGCATGATTTTAACAGTATTTCGTCTTTACGTCGTATATAAAATGACGTCTGTCCATTTCAAATTGAAAACACTGTAACTATGATTTAAAACAACAATATAAATATAGTTCATATATATCAATTATGGGTCATTGCACAATAATATTAAATTATTTAAAACAAACGACACTATTTAGTGATATTTGATACAAATATGATTGTTCGTTTTTCAGTTGTGTGTATGTTTCAGATATAAACATTATTTACTTAATTATTACTTTTGTTTTCCTAACGCGCTTTTAAGATCTATTATTTTACTGGATAGTATGCTCAAAATGTTTTTTTTTCTTCTATATCAACAGCTTTCACATCACCGGAAGTGATATTTGTACGTGAAAATTTACCGTCTGCTGCCATAGTACATCAGTTGAGGACAGGAAATTTGTCGTCTGCGTACCGTTTGTTGTTTTACTCTACTTCCGGTTTTAAGGTGACGAAAGATGGCGCTGTTCTTGTAGACGATGGCTACGAGATTGATTATGAAAATGTCAAGAAATATTATCTTATAGTAGAAGCCACAAGTTCTGTTGATAAAAGGTATAGTATGCATTTTGCAAATAGAGTAAGCTCAAAATGAACCATACAAAAAAAATTCAACAGAGCGTTTCTTATTTTGTTTGGGTTTAAAGTAACAGGTACACCGTGATTGTCATACGTCGTCGTCTATTTTCTTGTCGGGTGGTTCATGTATTCCTACTTGAATACTGTTGAATCACCTTAGGATATGTGGCCTGCTTTTTAAATTTTCTTTTGACGTCTTATCTGTGATATGCAGGCTTCACATCCTCTGTTCCCCTTTGAAAATTCCATTTTATTTAGTTCCGCCCATTGTTTTCTCGTTTAGGCGCACACATTTTTGGGGAGGCTATGCCGACCCAATGTTAATAACTGTCTGTCAAATCTTACTGCCGCGGTAATCAGGTCAAAAAATAGTACCTTGATTTTTTCTAAGCTGACTCATCACTCATCACAGACATTTACAATATGAAAATATTTTCATTCTTTAATTTCATATCTGCAATTTGTAAAGATAATAATTCTCTGAAAAAGTCTTGATTTTTGTTTAAATCACTACTCCGTGACGTCATACTGCCGCGGTAATCAGGTCAAAAAATAGTACCTTGATTTTTTCTAAGCTGACTCATCACTCATCACAGACATTTACAATATGAAATATTTTCATTCTTTAATTTCATATCTGCAATTTGTAAAGATAATAATTCTCTGAAAAAGTCTTGATTTTTGTTTAAATCACTACTCCGTGACGTCATACTGCCGCGGTAATCAGGTTTAGGCATACATACGTACGTCTGTAATAAATAGTTCTGGTATGAAAACCCTTCAAAATAATAACTTTATCAATATTTTTTTAACAAAAAGCATAAATGAAAATTTATAAGTAAATGCTTTAATTCAGTGGCAAATATTCTTTATTATTTTTGATAACAATTTTCCAATTACTACGCAGCGACCAACTGTTTATGACGGGTCATTAACTAGAACGTTGCAACACCGTATTCTCAATATCATGCATGTTCTTTTTTTTGTTATAAACTATTAATAGTCCTTAATATTTTTTAAAGACAAATAATTGTAAACTGTCGCTTACATCAGAGACATGGATCATGCTTGCGTGATAACTAAGGAAAACTAACTTATTTGTACACCCCAGGAGGCTGTACGCGGAAAACGCTCATAAACCGCTAAATCATATAGCTGTTTAGTAAATATTTTGCATACATTTAACTAAAAATTCACTGATGGTGATGAACATATAGTTTGAAAACATTATATTCTTTAACCATTATCGCCGAAAAAAAACTATTTAACTACAAAACCCCTAAGGACCTCCGACAAAATTCCAGCACAATATTACATTTTACATTAGCAAAATAAAAAAAGCAATACTTATATTTTCATCTTACATAATTCATTAATCAAACTTTTAACATAAAAGTATCTTTGTCAATTGACAGATCCCTACTCTGATCTTTTATTTGTATAGGAATAAATTTAAACATGTGCTCTTTTGTTTAGGAATATTTTGTAGTGAAAGTCTTATATATTCACTAATCTCATAATTAGAATTAGACAGGTCAGGAATTTATACAAACAGTTGTTTAGTTAACTATGCTCATTTTAATCCCAATAGAAACATTCAAATATTTGTGGTAAAAAACATGACCAAAGTACCTAGTAGTCGTTTACCCGGTGGTGATCCCATTAAACTGATTATAGATTCGAATTGATTAGAAAACACAAATAGAAACATGTGTTTCCGTACAACAAAATCGGAAGTAAAGTGAACAGTTAATTGACAGAAATATGTGGTCAAATATGTTTTAACAAGGAAATAATTATTTCAGAGAAAGACGCAAAGATCAGTATGACCCCGTATTGTGTAATTAGAAAGTTTATTCAATTCTAGGGCATACATCATAATTTGATAGTCCATGTGTAATAAAATTCAAATTTTCAATACAGATTATGAGATACATAAAAAATATTAAAGAATAAGAAGCTTTAATTAAAAAACAAAAACAAAAAAACAAAAAACAAAAAAAACCGCATACATATACAAATTACTTACAGTCGAGCATCGGGAAGTCATTAACATATCTTACGAAACTTTAATTTAAAACCGATATTTGCGCGCGCTGAAGTGATTAATGTTTATTTGAAAAATAAAAAAAAAGAACTTTTATGGTTGTGTTCTAAAAATAATGGGCGGCATAAGAGGAATTTCTTATTCATTTTACAACACTTGAAAAATTACTACAGAAAATGTGTTGTTGTTTTGTTTTCAACAAAAGTGTGTGTGTTTTAAGTTTATTTATACTCGGCGCCGGAATAACCATATGTCCGAGATTATAGCATCTGGGACGTCTTTTTCAAGCAGATTCTTCCTGGAAGCCCATTCTTCGTTCTTTGGTGGTAAAGGAGACGACAATACCGTCAAGGCATCAACTTTCTGACTGACGACAACAAAAACGGCATCTATTAGCGCCAAACCTCCAGAGTAAGTCACGACAGGTCAACCAATCACCTCTGGTACTTATGATGACTTGACTATGACCTTCCGTGTGCCTTCTCCGCGACGTGCACGCCTCTGGAGGTATTTTTGGAGAAGTTTCAACAAAAACTTCCAAAACACGCCATTTATAACACCATTCATAGCACTGACGGCTTCGATGTTCTCATCTATTTGCGGGAAATGGTCGACAGGGAAAACCCTACGTAATAACCGCACACCCTGTTAACAACAGATTTTCCGCAGTATATATTTCAAGCTAGTGAGGTTTAAAAATACACGTAGAATCTATCGATTAACTACCATAAGTTGGTTGAGTGTTGGCGGTAAAAAAAGAAGATATAACTTCCTGATCAATTTTCACTTAGGTTGATTCAGTTTTGAATAAGCTTTGCAGAGATGTATTTTTTCAAGAAATATTTAGCTTTAATATTATCCGACGCCGTCAGTAATGAAATGGGATTAATTTTCTGAAACGTGATTTTATTCGAGATTTGCTTCTGGAGAAGACAACCTTCTGTCCGTAGAGCATGAATATTAATACTCATCACAAGACAGTATCTTATTGATCTCAATTATGGTACATCTAAACGTGTATAATTTTTATGTTCAATAAAAATGTTGCATCACTTGCAGTTGTTATTATCATTCAATAATATTAAAATGACATAAAGTATTTATGATGAACAGTCCTAGAATATTTTGATAAGGAACCGTCAGTTGTAAAATGTTATTGTTATCTGATAATGAACAGTCGTCATACTTGCTGGTATGTCATTTATTATTGACAGTTTAGGTTTTTCAAAATTTGCATGATTAACAGTCCGAATGTAGACCTCAATTAAATGTTCTGGAATATTAACAAAATGAATAGTCAACCACATTAACCATATATATGAATGGTTGAACACAACAGTAGGGATAAATAGCGCAATGTGCATATCTTTTTATTTTGGTAGCATATTTTAAGCAAAAAGAAAAGAAACTATAAGTCTGAAACATTCTCTCATAGCCTCCCCATCAGTACATTCAGTGCTTTGATTTTACTTGGGGACCGGACCATATGCCGCTTTTCATGGAATGACACGTGACATATTGAAGGTTCCATGATAACCGCCATATGAACACATCTTCGGATGTTTCAAAATTGTACCAGTTCATGTTAAATGTTGAATGCTGCTTAAGCTGGTGCTAGGGGGCGTGGGCGGTAGTTTGCACTTTACAGTACCGTCCATGAACAGGCTCAATCAAACCGAGCCTGCAACATTTTCAGTTTTGCCGTTTTGGGCTTTCTTTGAGGATTCTTATTTTCTCTTTTTCATAACTTTTAGGAACATATGTTTTATCAATAACTATGTTTTCTATTTTTAGATTTAAAGTTCGACAGAGGCTCGAGATTATCGTGCAGGACGTGAACGAGTTCAAGCCCTCATTTCCGTTACAGGAATATTGTATCTTTCTTGAAGAACCTTACATAAAGGGTAAATATATCATTATTTGTCTTCCGGTACTTTATGGTAAATTATCTAATAATTGTGATCTTTGTAACAGTGAGGCCATTGACCGATCATAGATAGGGTCTTTTTTTAAACTACATTTAGTAACAGTGTTTGAAAAAAATATCTCAGTTGATTGAAGAATTACATTAACTTTTTTTTTGTAAATGCATGATTTTTTTATACTGTTATTTTGAAAAAAAGCAGCAACAGATATCTTGTACACAAAAGAGAAAAGCATGATTGATATATGTCTTCCTTAAATCACACATACAGTAAATTGTTTGTTGTTGTTTTTGCTGTTGTTGTTTCGCACATATAATAACTTGCTTCGCATTTGATTTTATCCGGAACTCGGCAAATGTTGGGTTTTCCGAGCTACCCCCCCCCCCCCATCGGTACATACAAAAAATACCTTTAAAGTTTTCACGATGCACTACCGGTGCACTACCGTTCACAATGGATTAGTCAACCTGTTGCGCTTATTTTCGAAGTGTAAACGTAAACGGTTATTTATACTTTCAGATTATCTGGGGGAAAAAACAACATATTCTTAATTCCAGAGTAAGTCTTACTTTCAGCTCTACAATAGAATGAGTTTTTATTCTATTTTAGGAATGGTGGTTTTCAAACATTCTGCAACAGACCGTGACGCTTCCGGTTCAAACATTTCTTACCACATTCGAAATGCAGAATCGGAAATAGCCGAAATCTTCCGAATAGATACGGAAACAGGAATTATAGAAGTTGCGAACGCAAACCTGCTTGGTTTTTCAGACAGCAATATTTATACCTTGCAAATTGAAGCTGTGGATACCGGAAGTCCGCAACTGACTGGTACATGTGTTGTGCAAGTTCGAACTGGTCTCCACTGCCCGCAAAATGGTGCAAAGAGTTCTTTTAATATTACTTCGGAAATATTTTTAACAATATTGTATATCTGTATTTATAACATTTTCGTATTTTATCTTCTTTTTAAACGTAGGTGATTAAAAATGCCTGTATGAAAAGCTTTCCTCAGGAAGAAATTACAAATGTATATATTTATAATCAAATATTTATTAAGCTATATATTTTTCTAAATATTTTATCATGAGGTGTAGTATTCGAACAGAATTTATAAGAATTTTTTATTTTACCATGCGCATGCTGTTAAAGTTGAGAAATAAGTAAATTTGTTATTCAAAGATAGCATTTCAACAATTATCTCCGAATTTGCAATTAAAGTTATTAATGATAATTGTAATTGCCGGGTGTTTTTTCCTTGTTCTATTCGTTAAAACAAAGGCATGAAAACTGATTTTTTTAAGAAAATAAATGAAAAAAAAGTACTGACATTATTATTTTGTATATCAGACTTGATTTTTTAGTGTTTGCAACGTTTCTTGAATTGTGACTTAACTTAATTTGAACGGTTACATACATTAGCTTTAATTGTATCGTTGCTTAAATTGCACTGTAACTTAAATTGCCCCGTAACTTAAATTTTACCGTAACTTAGAAAAACTACATCACACCGTACAATCAAATGGGCAGACAACCGTTCAACCGTCGACAAACGTATGGGAAATGTAAGCACAAAAATGGGGAATGTAATCACAAACATATGGAGAATGTAATTACAAAAAACAAACTGGGAATGTAATCACAAACATATGGGGAATGTAAGCACAAACATACGGGGAATGTAATCACAAACATATGGGAAATGTACGCACAAACATACGGGGAATGTTATCACAAACAAACAGGGAATGTAAGCACAAGCATATGGGAAATGTAAGCACAAACATACGGGAAAATGTAATCACAAACATACAAGGAATGTAATCACAAACATACAAGGAATGTAATCACAAAGAATCAGGGAATGTAAGCACAAACATACGGGAAATGTAATCACAAACATACAAGGAATGTAATCACAAAGAATCAGGGAATGTAAGCATAAACATACAGGAAATGTAAACACAAACATACGAAATATGTTAGCACAACTATACGGGGAATGTAAGCACAAACATACAGGAAATATTTCCACAGGTCAGTCACACATTGGAACATGGCTAGCTGATATTCCTGTTTACCCAGACGAAAGACAGTGCAGAACGGTAATTAAATTATCAAAATTAATGTACCTAGGTTACAAATTTTCGCCCTTAAATACCTGTTAATTCGACTCTAAAATCCGGTTTATATTGTTAATAATTTAAACCGTAACCACCGTTCATTTTGCACGTGAAAACCGGGTATATAATGAAACTATGGATTTTAAATTGAATTTATTGTCCTTTATATAGGATACAAAAAGCATGTTAATGTTACTGTTGTTTTGCTGATTTATACCCGCAAAATTATGCTACGTTGTTTAATGTGAGGTTGAATTACAACAAACTATTTTAGATATTGGTATGTATGTTTCACTTTTTAATTTCATGGAAAATAAACACACCACTGTGTTGCTTTTTCAATTCTCGTTATGGCTGAGGGGTTAAGCATTTGGTGGTGGTGGTGATGTCGGTAGTTTTCACTCTGGATCAAGACAGTAAGCCACATTTACCCATGAGCCCTCACCCTCCCCCCCCCCCCAGGAAAATTGTAAAATGCCCACTGCCCTTCAGAATATAGATTACCCCTTGTTGACATTTTGCGACGCCCCGCCCCGCCTGCCCTCCTCCACCCCTTTCTTTTAATATAAATGCCACTTGAGTTTATCAAAACCTTTATTGCAATTTACCTCTTACTTTAAAAGACAAGTTTCGAAATAAGTACATGTATAAAATTGTGCGCATCTTCAACTGTTCATTCATTATTCTCTACTGTTTATATAAATCTACCAAAGCAACCTTTACAGATCTTATCAATATTTAGGCCGCCTGTGGTGTTATAAATGTTATAGTTTTTTTTTCGAGGTATTGGCCAGTAACATGTGTAGTTCTTGTAGCAAAAATAGATTTCTCATGATCGCTTTTGATATCTTAATTCCAATGAACAAGATTTTTTTACAAGAGTTTATTTTTAGAATAAACGCACGTAATTCGTCAATGAAACGGAAGAATAAATCTTATTTTTACCGGAAACATTTAATGTTTTTACAACACATAAAAACATAGAAAAACTGGTACAAGAAATTCAAACATGTGAAAATAAAAGAAATGGATATATTAAAGGAAAAAGTTTTGGATTAAATCGAGAAATTAAGGTTTGTTTATTTATATACATGTATATATATGCATAAAAATTACATATGTGATACAAACTGACGCGGGGCGGGGGCGGGGGGGGGTGCAGGTGGGATATGGGTCGTCAGAATTTGAATCACCATTTTTTGGTGTAAAAACTTATACATTTATGTACGGAACACCTTTGCATTTCATATATATATTTAATTCAATTGCATTCGCTGTTTTAATTTTTGGAAAAATTAAATGACAATGTTTATTTAATTTACTTATATTTAGAGGCTTTATAATTGATTATTCTATAGCATAAACGGTTAAAAACAGGGTCAAAATTTCGAAAATAAATCTTTCTCCTTTTATTTTTTGGTATTTCATTTATTTCAATGCTATCTTCATTACATTACATGTTACATTACATTACATGTTACATTAAATTACACGTTACATTACATTACATGTTACATTACACGTTACATTACATATTACATTACATGTTACCTAACATAACCTGTTACATTACATGTTATGTTACATTACATGTTACGTTACATTACATGTAACGTTATATTACATATTACATTACATGTTACATTACGTTACATGTTACATTACATGTTACGTTACATTACATGTTACGTTACATTACATGTTACGTTACATGTTACATTACATGTTACATTACATTACATGTAACGTTACATTACATGTTACATTACATTACATGTTACATTACATGTATAAAAATGGCATTGCACGACCGTGAATACATTTTGACGTGACGTCATTTGCGTCAATGAAAAATTGTTCTTTTTTCACTTCGAACGGTCCTTATTTTTGGTATGTGATAAATAGAATATTAAATTCTTGTAAGTTCATTACGGAATTTGTTGAACGAGTTGAATAGAATTATATTATGCGAGCCTCATCAACGTCATCAACATCATCATCAACATCATCATCAACGTCATTATCAATGTCATCATAGATATTACAAATTTATAGAATTAATTGACAAAATATTAAATTATCGTCATCATCATCAACGTCATCATAAATATTATAAATGCATAAAATATCATCATCGTCAATAACAGCAGCAGCAACAACAACAACAGTATAATCATCGAATGAAAAAATTCTTAAAGACGATACTTATTTGAGAGGAAACGTGCGGTAAAACCCAAAACCAAAAAAACAAAGAAAAAAACAACAACAACAACAACAGTATTATCAACGAATGAAAACAATCTTAAAGATGATACTTTTTTTTAGAGGAGACGCGCGGTAAAACCAAATAAAACCAAAAGAAAAGAAAAAACAACAGAATAATTATTTTAATTTGCCTATGTCTGGTGTAAGCATAACTAAAATGTTTACACCTAGTCACATGATCCTCTTTTAGAACAATGAGGTGTGTTCTTTATCAAAACAGCACAATATCTCCCATTGTTTCCTATATTTATCTCATCGTTATGCAAAATCTATAAAATAGTGCGGGTCTGTTTTGCAAGCAGTTGTTAAGCAAAGCTCTTGAACAATGAAATAAATTGTGTTTGGTGATACCCTTCTACTTACTGATATTAATTCTCAGATGTGATACCAAAGTTTTTATTTCATATTCATATTAAAAGAACTATTTTTTTATCTATTTTATATAAAAGCCATTATAATACAGTTGACTCTCGGTAACTCGAAATCTAAGGGACTTGGCATTTTACTTCGAGAGAAACGGAATTCGAGTAAAGTGAATCTGCCGCCATTACGTTGACATTCGTACATGTATATACATGTGCCTACTGAATGTGCAAAGAAGTAGGTTTGTTATTGTTGACAGCGGCAATGCACATGTTTTAATAAGCACTCACGACAATTCATTACAATAAAAGCACAATAACACATTTACTTCAACAACAATTTATCTAATATTTGAAGTGAATTGATCATCGGACGAAAACGAAAGTATCAACTATCGTAAACCGGTAGTTATTAATGTATGCAATATGACGGAAAATTAATTAAACAAATGTCATTTACCTTGATATCTAGGCTGTTATTTGACTAAAGCCTGTCAGACTGGAACGAGTCAACTTTCTAATAGAAATGTGTAAGACTAGTCTGCAGGTAAACTTAATTACACTTAAATTAATTAAATCTTAAATTAGTTATCTAACTGTTAAAACCAATTAAGCGCTGAAACCGATTAAATCCACTTTTTTAATAATACATGATGACCGGCAATTAAAATTACTATGAAACGTGTGAATCACGAGTGACAACGTCCCGCCTTGATGTCGCCGACCTTTGATCAGTCGGCTGTTTTCACACTTCGACTTATTGAAATGAAAATATGTTTGATTTTAATTGACGGGACCAAATTTTCTTTTCGACTAAACAGGAGTCTCGGTAAGTCAAAATTTGACCTAAGCGGAGTTAAAATACAAAGTTAAAGAAGGAAATTTGACGGGACTTTAGAAATTCTTCGACTAACGCGGAATTTTGAGTAAAGCGATTTTGACTTATTGAGAGTCAACTGTATTTGTTTTAATACTGCACGTTTGTAACGTTGCTTTTCATTTCAAAATCTTGACGTTTTTATAGTTTTATATACAAGGCTGCTGTCGATTTATGAAGATATCTTACTTTTTTCTTTAAAAAAGGAAGTTTGCAATTATAAATATTTTGACAGGTTATATAGCCCTATATAAACGGGTATTTGTAAATATAACCCGAGCCGCCAGGCGAGGGTTATATTGCAAACAGCCGTTTATATTCGGCCATATAACCTGTCAACAATCTTTTGAGTTATAATCGTTTTAAAAACGCTTTTTTAGGAGGGGTGGG